GTCTTCAATGTAGAGTATCATATCATCAGCAAATAATGACAGTTGAACTTCTTCCTTTCCTATTTTTATTGCTTTAATTTCTTTCTCTTGTCTAATTGCTGTGGCTAATGTTTCCAGAACTATATCGAAGAGGAGTGGTGATAGTGGGCATCCTTGTCTTGTTCCTGATTTTAACGTGAAGGTTTTCAGTTTTTGGCCATTTAATATGATGTTGGCCATTGGTTTTTCATAGATAGCCTTTATTAAGTTGAGACATAGACCATCTATTCCAGTTTTTTGCAGAGTTTTTATCATGAATGGGTGTTGAATTTTGTCAAATGCTTTTTCTGCATCTATCGAAAGGATCATGTGGTTCTCGTCCTTGACTTTGTTAATATAGTGTATTATATTTATTGACTTACATATGTTGAACCATCCTTGCTTCCCTGGAATAAGTCCGACTTGGTCAGGATGTATGATCTTCTTGATGATCCTCTGTATTCTATTTGCTAGTATCTTATTGAGGATTTTTGCATCTATATTCATTAAGGAGACTGGCCTGTAATTCTCTTTTTTAGTTACATCTTTCCCAGGTTTGGGAATGAAAGAGATATTTGTTTCCAGGAATGAATTTGGAAGTATTGCTTCTCTTTCAATTTCATTGAAAAGTCTGAAGAGTAATGGCAGTAGATCTTCTCTAAATGTCTTGTAAAGTTCAGCAGTGAATCCGTCAGGACCTGGGCTTTTCTTTGTTGGTAAGTTTTTACTTACATTTTCAATTTCACTGATTGTGATTGGGGTGTTTAAAATGTTTTTATCTTCTGCGTTCAACTTTGGTAATTCATAAATATCTAGAAATCTGTCCATTTCTTCTGTGTTTTCCATTTTATTAGAGTACAGGTTCTCATAGTATGTATTGATGATCCTCTGAATTTCTGTGGGATCTGTTGTGACCTCGCCTTTTTCATTCCTGATTGCATGAATCTGAGCCTTTTCTTTCCTTTTTTTGATAAGGTTTGCTAAGGGTTTATCAATTTTATTTATTCTTTCAAAAAACCAACTCTTCGATTCATTTATTTTTTGTATCATTTTCTTAGTTTCCATTGCATTGATTTCTGCTCGAATCTTTATAATTTCCTCTCTTGTTCGAGCTTTGGGTTTTTCTTGCTCTTGCTTTTCTAGGAGTCTAAGAGTCATCATTAGGTTATTTATTTGAGCTTGCTCTGTTTTCCTAATGTGGGCATTCAGTGCTATGAATTTTCCATGTAGAACTGCTTTCATTGTGTCCCGTAGATTCCTGTATGTTGTATTGGCATTTTCGTTTATTTGTAAAAACTGTCTGATTTCTTAATTTCCTCTATGATCCATTGATTGTTCAGGAGAGTGTTATTCAATTTCCATGTGTTTGTGAAGTTCCTACGGTTTCTCATGCTATTGATCTCCAGCTTTACTGCACTGTGATCTGATAATATACAGGGAATAAGTTCAATTCTTTTGCATTTATTCAATCCTGTTTTGTGAGCTAGTATGTGATCTATCTTGGAGAATGACCCATATGCAGCTGAAAAGAATGTATATTCTGATTTTGTGGGGTGGAACACTCTATAGACATCTAATAAGTCTATATGTTCAAAAGCTTGATTCAGTTCTAGTATTTCATTGTTGATTTTTTGCCTAGATGATCTGTCTATTTGTGATAGTGGGGTATTCAGATCCCCCACTACAATTGTATTAGTGGTTATTTGGTTTTTCATGTTACTTAATATTTGTTTTATATAGTTGGGGGCATTTATATTTGGTGCATATATGTTTGTGATTGTCATTTCTTCCTCTTGGATTGTTCCCTTTACAAGGATGTAGTGGCCTTCTTTGTCTCTCTTAATCAGTTTTGGTTTGAAGTTTGCTTTGTCTGCAAATAAGATTGCTACCCCTGCTTTTCCTGGGCTCCTGTCGCATGGAGAATTGTTTTCCATCCTTGTACTTTCAGTCTATGGACTTCTTTTTGCACTAGGTGTGTTTCTCATATACAACATATTGTTGGATTTTGCTTCATTCTGCCAATCTATTTCTCTTGACTGGTGAATTGAGGCCATTGACATTGATAGTTATAACTGATATGTACTGACTTATTATTGTCATGTTATTGTCCTTTTGTTGACTCTTTTTATTTTTTGTCCTGTCTTTTTAGTTTCTAGCCTTGGCTATTTGATTTGCTTTGTTGGGCCTCCTGGTGTTGTGATCTTTGTTGTCTTTCTCTAGGATATTGTTTAAAATTCTTTGTAGTGCTGGTTTAGTATTCATGAAGTTTCTCAAGTGTTCTTTGTCATGGAAGTATCTTATTTCTCCATCCATTCTGAAAGAGAATTTCGCAGGATACATCAGTCTTGGTTGTAGGTTGTTTGCTTTTAGAACTTGAAATACCTCACTCCAGGCTCTCCTTGACCTGAGGGTTTGTGTTGAAAAGTCTGCTGTGATTCTGATGGGCTTTCCTTTGCATATGATTTGTTTCTTTTTTCTTACTGCTTGTAGTATTTTGTTTTTCTGGTGGGTTTCTAGGATCTTGATTATTATATGTCTAGGTGTAGATTTTTTTTGATTGTGGCTAGTTGGAGTCCTGTATGCCTCACTTATCTGTATGTCAAATTCTTCCCCTCTGTTTGGGAAGTTTTCAGTTATTAATTCTTTGAACAGCTTTTTTAAGTCATTTTGGTTTTCTCCTGCTACTTCATGGATTCCTATCAGTCTTATGTGATTCTTCTTTGTATCATCTAGGAGTTGTTGGATTGATTTCTCATGCTCCCTTACTGTTTTTAAGAGACCTCTCTTTTCATGGTCACTTTCTGCTATCCTATCTTCTATATCTGAGATTTTATTCTTGCAATCTTTTATTCTGTTGCGTATGCTTTCAGTAGTTTTTAATCTCCTGGATATCTGTTTGATTCTGTTTAATGGATTCCATTTCTTTCCTATGTTGGGTGTTCATTGTTTCCATTTCTTTCTTATGCTGGGCCTTCATGTTTTCTATTATGTTCCTAAACTCATCTATTTTTTTGTCAGTTTCTGTTCTGGAGTATTGAATCATGTCTTTCATTTTGCTCACCATCTCTATGGTTATCTGGGAAATAATTTCTGTTTTGAATTTTTCTAGAGCTTCATTGATCAGTTTTTTTACTTCCCGTGCTGTGAGTTCTGAGTGTCCTGGAGGTTCACTATCTGATTTGTCATCCTCCTTTGCCCTACTGTTTGCCATTGGTGAACTGGACGTCTGTCCTCGTGGCTTGCTTAAGTGTTTTCTCATCTTTATTTTTGCTGTTGGGTTGCCCTTGATTCAATCTCTGAGTCATCAAATCTTCCTGATATCGTTGCATCCCAGCCTTTGATTCTCTAATGACTTATAGACATTCTCACTTTCATAATTGAGCAAACAACTCATCAAATCAATCCCTATCCTGTATCCCTGTCGATACAATCAGGAACATAATACAATCAATCACCACCCTTTATAGCCCGCAATGCCTCTGCAGAGTGCATCCACAGACTGGCTCAGTTTCAGGGGATCAAATAGTGGGGGAGGGCTCTGTGGCACCCGCTAGGCTACCCTCCTGGCGCTGTGTCAGAGCCAATCAGTGGCGCCCACTGGAAACGGCACGGCTCCAGAGTAGGCCCGTAAAAGGCAGCTCTGAGTCCAAGCCAGGCCGATGATGACTAGTAAAAGTTTTAAAGGTTAACGGAGGGCAGGGACAAGGGGAAAAAAATGAGAATCAAGACCTGTCATGCAAAGGTGCAGGATCCCAATAATGAATGTAACTGTACTGTATACCTAAAATGTACCAATAAACTCAATGAGGGGGAAAAAAAGTGAATAGAAAAACAGCTAATGAGGATAAAGATGAATAGTCACCAAGACAGTGTCCACACAGCACCCACTCTAAAAAGGAGCAGGCTCTGAGCTGCATCACACTGTGTGGTCCCATCTGTGCCCACCATCGTCTCGTTCCCACAAGACGGCACCTTACAAATCAGCATCAGTGCGTGAGTCAGCTTTCTGTCACTGGGACAGAATAGCAGACACATGTTACCTCAGGCTCCTGGTTTCAGAATTGTGATCCAGCGCTTCTGACTCCCAGGCAGAAGCACCGTGGCAGAGGGGCACAGAGGAGCAGAACTGCTCCACTCGTGCTAATCAGGAAGCAAGCACAGGAGAGCAACACCCAAGGGGAAGAAGCCCAGAGACTGGAAAGAGTCTCGAGTTGCACCTCCAGGGCCCACCCAGACACACCAGAAGTGTGCTTTACTGGGTGTCCCTCAAGCCGATGGAGTTGACAATGAGATCAGTCATCACAGTTAGGATTATGTGAGGAAGTAATTCAGTCTGAAACCATCACAGTGAGGCCTGCAGGGTGTTGTAAGAGACTGGGATGTTCGTAAGGTTGCCACATGGCCCGTGGATGAATGACCAATGGATGACAATCAGCACGTGAGGAATTGGGCCCCTCCCCCTTCCCCTCTCTCCCTCTCCCTCTTCCTCTCCTCTGCCCATCCCCTCAGAGAATATTAGACTCTGGCAGCCACTTCCCTGGCCACAGCCAAATAGTGCGAAAGGGGGTCCTTCCCAGAACTCAACTCTTAGCACTATTTTTGTTTGATACATGTTACCAGAAAGATGTGGATCTGAATGGTTTGAAAACATTACATGTTACCATGTTAATTTAGGACATATTATGACTGTAATTTAAGTGTGACATTTGAATTTCAGTACTGTATTTAGTATTCATTTTCAGAGACCATATTTAAAACACATCTGTCTTAGAAAAATGTTGTTACATGCATATATATATATATATATATCATTATATATTTTATGCTATAAGTTATCTTAACTGTATTTATCAATAAGAGAAATATTCACTTGCTGAATCAACCACAAACTTTAGGAAAGGTATCTCTATAATAAAGAAATAGTTACAATTCTACATTACAATTTTTACTACTTTCACTTGACTAGAGTGATTGTCAACCAATATTTCCAAAATAAATATCTTTAGGCCAGAATATCCCTACACATGCATTTATGGGAAGTTGAACAGGGTATACCTTTTTCAAACACCAATATAATTTCTTTTTAAGAATTGTAATGGCACAACTTTAGTGCAAAAAATAAAATTCAGAAAAAACTTGTAGGACAGGTGACCATGAATAGTAAATTTTACAGAGTAAATGTGATCAGTATCATTTCTTAACCTTAAGTGTTTTAAATGTAATGATTTTAAATTTCTATTTAGGTTTACTGGAAGTCGTAACACATCTAACAAAAAACTAAATGCACTTTGATGTTCAATAAAAATTTGCTGGCTGAATAGATCATGAGCATTTTAATTTCACAGCAGTGACAAACTATGTCCTGTTTTCCAGGCACGATATTTACTAGGAGCCCTATAACCCTTCTGAATAAAATACCAACAATTCGATTTCTTGTGGAAGCCAGTGATGGTGGGATTCCTGAGCTGAGGGCTCTTACATTAGTGGAGATCCAAGTCCAAGATGAGAACAACTGTGCCCCAGAGTTCACAGCAGGGTACTACAATCTTACCTTGAGTGAAGATGCTCTGGTGGGAAGCACGCTTGTCACATTTTCGACCTTTGACTGTGATTGGACGCCTGAAAACACATACGTTGAGTATTCCATCATCAGCGGTAATTCTCAGAACAACTTCCATGTGGATACCACTTCCGTTTGTTCAGAGTTTCCCCACGAGCAAGTCGGTTATCTTGTGCTACTTCACAGCATGGACCGAGAAGCCAGCGCCAGCCATCAGCTCGTCGTCCTGGCCTCCGACCACGGCTGCCCTCCCTTGAGCTCCACGGCGATCGTATCCATACAGGTGCTGGACGTGGATGACAACCCGCCCAGATTCAGCAACCTGCAGTACCACGCCCACGCCAGGGAGAGTGCCCCTCCCGGCAGCCACATCGCAGTGGTCTCAGCCAGCGACCCTGATGTGGGCTCCCATGCTGAGATCTTCTACCGGGTCATCTCTGGAGATGAGAAGGAGCACTTCCACTTGGAGGAGAGAACCGGGGTCCTTCATGTTGTTAAACCTCTGGATTATGAAGAAACGACAGAATTCGCTTTAACCATCCAAGCTTCGGACAGAGATAAGAAGCATTGTTCCTTCTCAGTTGTGTTCATCAAGCTCCTAGATGACAACGACCACGAGCCCCAGTTTATGTCCTCAAGCTTGACTTGTGCAGCGCCTGAAAATCTGCCCGTGTTTTCCAGCCTCTGTTCCGTCAGTGCCGTGGATTTTGATGCAGGTCCTTACGGAGAACTGACCTATTCTCTTCTGTCGCCCTGCACTGTCGCTCATGGGAGGGCTTCCCCTCGGGATCCCTTCAGCATCGACCCTTTAACAGGGGACCTTCATGCTAGCCAAAGCCTCGACTACGAAAGCGCCGACAAGTACTGCCTCCTAGTGCAGGCCGAGGACAAGGGCGGCTCCACCGCCTCCCTGACTGTTTGGGTGGACGTTGAAGGGATAGATGAGTTTGAGCCCGTTTTCACTCAAGATCAGTATTTTTTCACCCTCCCACAAAAGATTCAAGAAAGACATCTGGTTGGTAGCGTGGAAGCCACTGACGCGGACTCAGGTGCCGATGGGGTCATTTTTTACTCTCTGGCAACTCCTTCTCCTTTCTTTTCAGTAAACAGAACCAGCGGAAATATTTACTGGCTTAAAGCCACTCCTCCCTTCATGAAAAGTCAGGTCAGCGAAGACAACACCTTTGAAATACAAATCATTGCTCAGAGCCCCCGAGCAGGCTCCAGGTCCACATCTTGCACTGTGTTTGTGAACATGTCTCTGTCCTCTGATGGAAAACGTGTGCTGCCATCCGCCACCAGCTTCTCCGTCAGCCTCACGGTCTCCTTTGTCGCGTTCCTGTTACTCGTCTACGTTCTGACTGTGCTGATTGTGAAACACACACCAAAAGCCACACCGCACCATTACGGAAAGAAGAAAGCATCACCATCCTTAGATGCCAGTGTGAGGCTGACAGGGGATGCTGGCAGTTGCCAGGCCCCCCAGGACCAGGGTGAGGGCCGGAAGGAGGTCACGCCTGAGTGGCTGAGCTTAATAAGCATCATGGAGAAGGATCTCGGCAGCCCTCACTGGCGCTCCAGCTCCAGCAGTCACTGCTCTGTGGAAGGGGAGACTGCAGAAGACAGGGAGATCCAGAGGATAACCAAGCACCCTTCCAGAAAGGACTCAGACTCGGCCCTGAGCAACCGGGGCTCCCGGGTGCGAGACTCCGGAATCCCCAGGGACTCAGACCAGCTCTCCTGCCTATCTGGGGAAACCGAGGTCATGGCCAGTGCCCAAGTAGCAGAAGGTAGCCATGCAGCTGAGGGAGGAGATGGCGGGGAAGGCTGTAACCCAGGGTGTGTTCACAGTCACACGCAACCCCAGGCCCTGCAGAAGAAAGAGGCAAAGGAGGGAGTCCTGGCCGACCCGGAGAGAGAGTCTGTCTGTGTTTCAGGAGATCAGGAAGCCAGCTGTGCCACCTTTTCAACTGAGTTCACCTCCGATCACAAAGCAAGAGGCAGCTATGCCTGGGACTGTCTCCTAAGCTGGGAACCCAAGTTCCAACCCCTGGCCTTGGTATTTAATGATATTGCGAAACTAAAGGATGAGCATTCGCCTAAGCCTGGCATTCCGAAAGAGAGGAAGTCTTTGGTTTTTCCACCACCTTTGATAACAGCTGTGGCCCAGCCTGGGATTAAAGCAGTTCCCCCGAGAATGCCGGCCACGGCCCCAGGGCAGCTACTTCAGAAATATTCCCGCTCCCCTCTCCTCTACCGCCAAGGTTCTCCGGCAGAAGCCATGACCCCCAGCTTTTCCCCATCCCTTTCCCTGCTGACTGTGCAGACTCTGGCCGGGTCATCACTCTTAGGGACACGCAGAAGTGACCCATGCTGTGCACCGAAAGTGGAAGATGACCCTGAAATATAAAGCGATGGTGACCCCAACTGCCCTGCCACGTCGGTCTCCAAAGGCCAAGCAGAACATTCTCAAGCTCCTCCACACCAGGCTCACGCTTATCTAAAAGTGAGCGTTTTTAAAACCTCCCCATTTTTTAGCTTCTCAAGTTTCTTCCAGCCTTAATGAGCAGCTATTTTTGCTTTTAACCTTTATGTTTTGCTCTCAGGACTCATGTGTATATAGCAATTCAGGTATATTCTGTCATATCTGGTTTTCTGTATGAGTAGATTTCCAAAGGACGCCATGAACTTTACTGCCTGCCCCAATGATTATTGGGAAAAAAATGGAAATAAGGCATACTGCGCTCTGGTAATATTGCTGCTGATTACACCACTGTATCTCAAACAACAGCAGTAAAAATGATGGCAGCATAGTGAATGAGTTTAGGAGAGAAAGCAACAGAGGAAATCTGGGCAGATAAATCTATGTTTTAAGACAAAGCAACAATCTATAAGTCTGATATTTAGAGATGCATCTCTCCACTTCCTCCGTATAACACTGTGTGGAATTTAGGAATAATTTGAATGGCGTCTTTTGGAAATTCAAGAAGGAAATAAGAATGCAATTTGTCATTATTCTGTGAAACAAGAGAATTATTCCCAATTAAATGAACCAGAAATGCATGTTCTTGCAGGACCAGGATCATGGATAGTACGGATGTATATGTGCTTAGTTACTATGACACAGTACTTGCCCTTTTTCTACAAATAGAATGGCTTTTTTTTCAATGCTCTGCCTTGTAACAGGGAACAGGTACAGACATGAACCTTCAAAGATTAATTTATAGAACTTTCTTCATTCCGTTTTTTTTTTTTTTTTTTTTTTTTGGTGTTGGGTTT